GGGCCTAGAGGGAGCAGTGGGGACACGTGCAGCCACCCTCCCCACGAGCGAGGCTTTTCCCCAGATATCAGGCATGCAGCCGGTGCGTGGAAGCCCGGAGCGAAGGGGCCGCGGCTCAGGACAGAGACTCGGCTCCCGAACCAATCAGAGCAGCCTGCCTTTGCAACGAGACAGGAAAAAATAAAGTATCCCCTTGCTGGGCCACCGTGCAGGCGAATCGCGAGCCCATGTACACGCAGGCCGCCTTTTCAATTAAACCACCAAAACTGTTTGACTCGAAGCGGTCGTGTTTCATAAATAAAATGTAAAGCCTGATAAGATGCTGCCCTGCGTATCGTAACGATAGAATGTCCCAAAAGTCACGTTGGTTGAGGGGCCATGAAAACATGAATCCCGACCCCCCACGCCCCCTAGACACCCCATTGCCACGCCCCAAAACCCAGCGAGGTGGGGAAGTTTTGCACCCGCTGCCCAGAGGGGCAGGCCCACACGGGGCGGGGTGTCTGCTGTTCCTTGCTTGCTGCCTCTCACCTTGGAAGGATGCCATCTTCCTTATACTGGTCAGCTCGGGGTGGGTGACCGGCGGGGCCTGCCTGAACTTCAGGTCGGTCTCCCTGGTGATGAGACGGGGAGCAGGTGAAGGTACGGACGGACGGGGTACCAGGGCAGGGCACCCGTAGCCCTTCCCAGAGTCCCTCAGACACTCTCGCTAAGCACCGACGGTGTGCTGGCTGCCGACCAGAACGCGGAGGCCCAGAGAGGGAGAGGGCCTCACCCAGGACGCACAGCGTTTTTGGTTTTTGCCACAGGGCTGAGGCCACGCCCTAAGCCTTCTGACGCTCAGGCTGGCGCACACGAGGGCCTCCAGAAATGTCGGCACAAGGGTAGGTCCCTTGCTCTGGCCCAACCTTTTGGCCAGCTGGCTCGCGGGCACCCCGCCACCGTTCCCGGGGCGAATGACCTAACTCTTCGGCCGCTGGGGAAGTTCTTGCATCCAGAGCCCCAGACCCCTAGTGATGGCCCACGGCTCACCCATCGATGTCCGCAGTTTCCACGCAGCACAAACTGCTGGGCTCGGTGCTGGCCAGCAGGAGTAAGTCGGCCTGGGGTTGGGAGGGGTGGGGGGCAACAGCACTGCTCAGGGGGGACACAGGAGGAAGGCAAGGAGGAGGCAGCCCGCCCCCCCCCCCCCCCGCGGTCGGCCGCCAGCTCACCGGGACGATGTTGTCTTTGTGCAGGCAGACCACGTCTCCCACATACAGGTCCTCCCACTTTCTCCACAGGAAGCTGCAGGGGCGGGGGCGGGGGTGGTAGTGAGGGGGGGGGGTCCCTCCCAGGCCCAGCCTTGGCCACCCCAGCCGGGAGAGCGGGGCTTCCAGTCTGCAGGTCCTGGCCGCCCGCCCCCGGTCCTCCTGGAGGTCCGGCCTTCCTGGCCCCCCAGCCCCAGGTCCCAGGCCCTTTCAGATCTTCCCCGCCCCGTCTTCAGCTGAACCCCCATCACAGGGCCCGTCCCGGCCTTGGTAGACAGCAGGCGCTTAAGTAGTGCCGGCTGGGCCGCTGTCAGGCTCAGCCAGGATGTCCAGGAACACAGAAGGTTCGGGGCCCTCTGAGAGGCACTCCTCCCTGGCCTGTCCCCGGTCCCGACAAGCCGTGCTGGGGGCCTCTTGCCCCGGGATGGACCCCACACATACACGGGGCCACGAGGCCTCACCTCTTCCCCACCAGGATCTGGCAAGGCCTGTTGTTGATGATTCTGTCGCTTCTGTGTCGCCCCTGGGCTGACAGGGGAGCGGGTCAGAGGGACGGCCCCGCCCCCAGCCGGGCCCCCACGCCACCCCAGGGGGGAAGGGCTGCTGGGCAGGAAGGCAGATTCTGCCTGGCCACACCACGCCCCCGGCGGTCTCTCATGCGACCTACCACAGCCCAGTACCCCCCACACCCAGGGCCCCCTCCACTCGCCAGGCACCCCGGCCACTTACGATGTCGTCCACCAGATCTCGGGTGGCCCGGATGACGAGGAGGCAGATGAGCGGGACAAAAAGAGTGAACCAGGGCAGCGTGGAGATCTCGGGGAGGCCCTGACGTGGAGGGCGGGTCATGCCGGCCGCCCCCCAGGCACCACCCTGCCCGCCTCCCGCTCCCCTCCCACCCGGCACACCCAGCCTTGCAGCCTGGCATCCCGTGTCCACCTGCTGACCACCCCAGCCCAGGGCCAGGCCCCTCTCCCCCCAGACCTTGGGACAACCACCCTCCTGTCCCTCTGGTCCCGGTCCCCATCACTGGTCCCTACCCCATGGTTTGATGTCACCCCTGCCTGCCCGAGGCACCTGAAAACACGCGTCAGGGCCACTGCTGGGTCCCCAGTGCCCAGCACACAGTAGGTGCTCAATAAACGTTTACTGGATCTTTACTCGGAACAGAATGAGACGCTGGGTCAGGGTTCCCTGGAAACTGCCCACCCACCGAGAGAGGAAGGTGACCAGGCTGGATGCTGGCCCCCCTCGTGCCCCACCCAGACGACCCAGACAGTGGGAAGGGCCCCCACAGGTCCTGAGAACGCGCTTTGACCCCTGATTGCTCCTTGCCCTCTGGGTTTAGCTCGGAGGGCTGGGGCCAAAGGCGGTATGTCTGAGGCTGTCCATCCTGAGGGGGGGGGGGGGGGGGGGGCGTGCCCTCCTTGACCTGAAGGAGCCACGCACGCACCTCCCATAATTCTTCATGTATCAAGGACTCCTCTGTGCCAGGCCGTGGGCTGTGCAGTGGGGACCCAGCAATGAGCGTGGGGGGACAGACCTTGACCCACAAACCCCACAGACAACTGCACAGTGAAAACTGCCCTGGGTCTACAGAGCCGTGGGGCAAAGGGCAGTCAGGGAGGGCTCCCTGGAGGAGGCAATGCGGGCAGGCGGCTGACCCCTCCACACCTGGAGAATGATGATAAAAAGGAAGTAGAGGTTGGACACGCGGTGGAACTGCTCATACAGGTTCAGGGGCAAGAAGGAGAAGACGTTGTACTTGGCCGTGTGGATGACATTGCTCTGGAACGACAGCCAGCGTGGGATTGCTGCCCGGCCGGGAGGCCCCACGCCCGCCGGCCCCGCCTTCTGGCCGCTACCAGCATTGATTGAGCACCTACTGAATGCAAGGTCTTGAGCCAGAGTTTACTGAGTGCCCAAGGGAGGCGAAGCCTTAAGCCAGCATTGACCGAGCCCCTCCTGGGCGCAAAGACTTCGGGGAGCAGAGCCGTGAGCTCAGCGTTTCCCAAAGCGAGGCGCACGCAAGAGGTTTTAGGTGGGGCCCCGTGAACATATTGCACTTTGGAGGTTTCGTATTAATATAACTTAAACTGGGGTGGGGGGGGCGCCAGCACCCAGCTGGGGGTGTTACGGTCCTGGGGACTGAAGTTCAGGGTGGGTGCTGCGGGGGAGGGGGGCAGAGATGGGGGCGCCCACCTTATACTTCCTCCTCTGCCAGCACAGGAAAGACTTCTCCTTGAACTGGCTGTTGTGGTCCCTGCTGTTGGCTTCCAGCTCCCAGGTGAACGCTGAAGCCAGAGAGAACAGGGCATCACGCAGGGCAGCAAACACAGGCTAACGACACCCCAGAGGAGGGCCCGAGGGGCTCCGGGGGGACCCAGCCCTGGGGACACTCAGCTCACGGACAGGGAGCTGGTAAACAAACAGGACGGCCCGCGGCCCCCCGCGCACAGTAAACTCAGGGGGAGCGCCCCTCGTCCCGCCGCCCTGGGCCAGTCCCTAGGCCAAGAAGAGGACAGGCTCTGGGAGACCCCTTCACACCCACTCCTTCCTCAGAGCGCTAAACTGGGGCCCAGCACCGGGCTCCAAGGTGTCCAAGGCTACAGGCCCCGAATCCTGAGTCCAGCATTTGGCCATCGGCTTTGGGACCGTCAGCCGGCGAGCACCCACACTGGGCCTCCTCGGTCCCCCCCGCCTCAGCCACTGCACTTCGTGGTGGCCCTCGGCCCCCTCGCCAGGACCCAGGACACGCACCGGAGTTCTTCTCCTCCTCGAGGTCCTCTCGGTAGGCGAGGCTGCCCATGCTGGTGGGGCTGCGGGGAGAGGGCCCCAGGTCGCACCAGCAGCCCGGACGGTGCCCGCTTCTCTGCCCCGTCCCAGGGCTCTGACGTTCCAGCCGCCGGACGTGTCCTTCTCTGGCCGTCCTCGGGCCTGGCGGGGCCCCGGCTGCCCCCCAAACCTGCGACAGCCTCACACCCAGCAGCCCCCAAGCTAGCAACCCAAGGTCGCCTCGTCTTCCCCCGTTACGGCCCATCGCTGGGGTGAGGGGTTCTACCTCGGGCCGCTGCTCCCCGCCAGCCCCCGTCAGCTCTCCTGGGAGGCCCACACCCACGTCCTCCCGGGTCTTCCTGCCGCCCCCCCCCCCCCGCCCCAATCCCCGCCCGGCACACCCAGCCCACTGAGGTGCTCACCAGCGTTTGCTGAGTGACTAAATGGGGCCCCAGGACTATATGTTAGATCTCACGTACACGAGGGCCAAGCCACCCAGAGAGGTCTGAGCATGGTCTCGGGGCGGCTAACCCTGACGGGGGAGATGCAGGCGACCCCAGACCTCCCACGGAGCCTGGAACCTTCCCACCATCTAGTTCACGCTTGGCCCTTGCCCTTAGACGCCAGGAATCGGAGTCTGCCCAGGGGACCCACAGCAGCCACCAGCACTCAGCAGCCCCCCGCCTCCGGGCACTGGGCTGGCTGTCCCCCTGGAGGGGCTTTCCCCGCATGCGCGGTCAGTGCGTCCTCACCGTTCTGGTCTCAGCTCGTACTTCTCAGACCGTCCGTGCTTCTTCAGGTGCCTCCTCTGGGCTCCCCCTCTACCTGGGGCGTCCCCCATCCCAGCCCTGCTCCCCCTCCCTCCTCTGCTTCTCTCCCTGTCTGGGCTGCCTGCTGAACTCAGAACCTCTCAGGGCAAAGACGGCTGGCATCGGAGCCGACCGTGTCCCCAGGCCCCGAGTGGGAGGACCTGGCTCACAACCAGTTCTGCTGCTCCCGGGAGCCTGAGCGGGGCCAGTGCCCATTCACCGGATGGGGAAAAGTGAGGCTCAGGGCGAGCGAGGCTTAGCCAGTGGGACCCAGAGCCCGGGAGACCCAGCGGAGGGCAGACGGGGCCGGAGGAAAGCTGAGGTGGACAGAATCCACCCCACGTTTATGGGGGGGGGGGACAGCAAGACGCCCCCCACCAGGGCTGGCTTCCCCTTCCTTCCCACCCTCAGCTCACCGGAAGCCTCGAGCATCCCGCAGCGGCGGCGGCCCAGACGCCGGGGCCTCCACAGGACCCCGGGCGCTCCGGCACCCCCACTGGGCTCCGCTCCGCGACAACCTCCAGGGACGCCCCGCCGCGGCCGCCGCGACCTCACGCCCTCAGGCGGGGCGGAGTCCAGAGAGGGTGCGAGGGCACCCGAGGACGCACAGCAGCGGGAGCGCCGCCGCTCACCCGCGCGGGCCGGGGCGGGTGGTCCTCGGGCGGCCAGGGCGGCGGACGTGCCGGAGCTGTTAGCCGGGTGCCAACCGGCCTGAAACGGGCGGCGCGGGCGCGGGACGGGGCTGGGGTGGCGCGGGGGCGGGCCCGGGGGCGGGCCCGGGGGCGGGGCCTTGTCACGCTGGGCGGTCCCGAGGGGCGGGGCTTTTGCCGTGCTGGGCGGGCCCGAGGGGCGGGCCCGGGTGGGCCTAGGGGCGGGGCTTTGTCGTGCTGGGCGGGCCCGAGGCGGGCCGGGGGGCGGGGTCCTGAGAAACAGGGCGGGCCCGCGGGATCGGGGGCAGGGCTGGTGGGGTCTTGCGGAGAGCAGGAGGTGAGGCGGGGTTTCACCGGGCGAACCTAGACAGAAGTCAAGGTGGGGCGAGGCGGGGCGGAGACTTACGGAGAGGACCGTGGTGGTGGGGACCCGGCAGAGATGGAGGCTTGGCGGGGGGGGCCTCTGGAGTGGTGGCAGGCGGCGGTGCGGGGGTGGGGAGCGGCAGGCCCAGATCCAGGGTTGGGTCTTTGCAACGAGCTGAGGGTTGTCAAGATAGGGGCAGGCTGGGACTGGGGAGGATCAGTGGGCGGGACCTCGCACCGCAGGGCGGGATAGCGGGCCTCGATTCGGGCCTGGGTACTAATCGGCCCGTAATTTAGGGGCGGAACCTTGTAAAGCAGACCCTCCGTAGAGTGGATTGGTCCTGGCCGAGGTTGGACGGGACCAGAGTGGGGCTAGGGACACAGGAAGGACGCACAGGTAATCACAGGTCTGAGCTGCGTCCTGGGTTTTCACTCCCTCATCCGGCACCCATTAATGAGCACCTTCCAAGCTCAGGTGCAGTGTTAGGTGCTGGGCTGGGGGAGGTAAAAGAGACCGTTAGAGGAAGCCCACGAAGTTCTGGCCCGGTGTGAGCCCACCCAGCGGGCGACCAGGGCTCTGAGGGCCTTCCTGAAGGTGACAGGGTTGGGGGACAGCCACGAGGCTGGGGGAGCTGGGCGGGGGGGGGGCCCCTGCCCCAGGGGGGGGGGGGCTGCTGAAGCTAGGGTCCCCAGCAGTGGGGACTCAGGGAGAGGGGCCAACAAGATGATTGAACGCTTTCATATTTTCACTCTTAGAAATCCTCTGGGAAATATGGAAATTAGGAAGGTAGTTGGTTCTGGGCACTTTCACACTGTCACCACCTTCCCCCCTCTGCCCTGCGCTGGACTCCATGCCCAGCCTCCCCTCTCCACCTGGCACTGGGGCCCTTCATAGCATCACCTATGAGCAAATGTTGGTGATGAGGGAGCGATGGGGTGGTGAGGACAGCACACAGGCTGTGACACCCCCCCCCCCCCCGTCAGAGCAGCAACCTCCCCACTCCCTCTTCCTAGGAAGCCTGGTCTGCACACCCTCCTTGGCCTTTGAGGGTGGGCGGGGGGATGGGCACTGGTAAACCTCTTATTCATTCACTCAACAAACACCCAGCCCGTACCCAGTGGTTAATGAGAAGGACCCAGGCAAGAGCCTCACTGGCCAGCTGAAAGCTTGCACCCCTCCTCTGGGTCTCCCTGGGGGGCTCGTTATGCTCTGGGGAAAGGGAACGACACCACACAGAAACAGAAATGGCCCTGCACCATTTATTTAGAAAGTTACTTGTTTACACAAGAGGTGGGAGAAAGTCAAATGGTCAGAACAGCCTCAGGGGGACACAACAGTGGCCGGGGCCCCGACTCAGTCACCACTCCCCAGTGAGGGCCCCTCAGGATCTGGAGGGCACCCAGTCCTCGGCAGCGCTGGCCCAGGGCGCTTCAGGGGTAGAGGCTGCCGTGTCCTCAGCCTGGGACCCTGCCCTCTTGGCCTTTAGCAGAAGCCAAAGTGGGAGTGGCAGGGGCCCTCCTCCAAAAGCCCTCCTGCCTCCACACATAGGGCGCCCCCCACCTGCCCCTCCACGGGCTCACCTCTGGCTGCACTTTGTGTCTTAAATGGACTAACCGTGGAGACCTCAACACCCCCAAGAGGCACAAGTGACAGGCCGAGTCCATCACTGAGCCCCGTGCACACAAGCACCTCCCGGGAGCAGCGGGCCGGCACTTGGGGAGGGGGCAGGTGGCCACCCTCCCCTGTCCGCGTTAGCTCCTCAGACACAGCACAGTGGCTCTCCAGGACTCCTCGCTCCCCACCCCACGGATAAGCAAGACAGCCAGCCAAGCCAGCTCCGCTCACGGGACTGGGTCACCACCTCCACCATCGCAGAGCCCCAAGGGGGCCAGAAGCCCGGGGACCGCAGGAGACGGTTTTCGGGAAGATGAACAAGGTTCTATTTCCGCTTCCCCAATTAGGGGCAGACCTGACCCTGGGGGCAGCTGAGTGTGGAGCCTCACCAGGCACCAAGAACACCACCAGACGCCACGCGATCTAAAATCCATACAAACATTTATTCTGTTCCTGCCTCGGGTCAGGGGACCGGGGGTCAGGGCCCTAGGGGGGCTGCAGGCCTTTACAGACAGCCCCTGGAGGGGGAGGG